GGGGTAAATTGATGATTGCACACGAGGGGGGAGGGGGTGTATGTATGCCTAGTGTGTATGTGGTTGTGTATATTATTGTGTGTGTGTGTATATGCAATTAAGGTAATGTAGAATTCAAGCTGCTTCGACCGTGCTTGTCAGGGCAAATCAGGACTGAAAGGAACGGGACTATAATTTCCTCACTCAGCAATCGTATTTCCGTCTTCTGTGGTCTGCGACACCTTGGAACTGGCTCAATCCTCACTTCAATATTCAAGCTTATCATACACGTAGACAAAGACAGAACCACCGATTTGACTTTCGCCTGCTCTATGACCGGTGAGGAGGAAAACAAAAGGCACATTAAAAGGCGGGAATGTACTGGCATGGTGATACAGTCGAAAGACAGTCAGCCATTGTCGAGGAGAGTTAAGTTTTAGTAAGAGTTTTACGGTACTTCAAAGGTCATATTTATAAGTGCAGAAGAATAGATGTGTTACGAGAGAGTAACAAACACTAAAAAGAAGGAGGAGAGATAAGGACGATGGATGTTTGATGGGAAAGAAGGAGCAAACTACACCAGAGCACCCGCCAACCACCCACATTGCGAGGAGAAAAGTGGTTGTCTTATACAGGTCGGCGTTTTGGTCAGTGTCATTACAATAATATAAGATTCGAAAACGAAAGGGGAGACGTGGGGAGTGGTCGTTTGTACAGGTGATTGTATCAGACATGTGGCCGCTAGAGCAGGTTCGACTGAACATGTATTATTGCGTGCCATAGAGTTATCTCCTTTTTAAGCCTAGTAGTGTAAATCTATGTTGCGTGCACACACTACGTGAATACATTCACGTCATTCTCGGCATTGTGGAAGGCGCACGTCCAGCGACAATAGTTTGCATTCAACGTGTCAACCTTACAAGTGAATGTGCCATTTCTACAGGCTGTGTCAGAAAACGGAAATCATTCTATACAAGCAACCCCCCGCTCGATCATTCCCATGTTTCTGTATAGACCCGTGTTTACCTTGACTAGCAGCTCGTCAGTGTATGCAGAAGGGAACTAGATCTAGACGTCCCGTTACACCAATTCAAAGAAACACGATCTCTATTTTTAGCACGGGTTGAAATCAGTTTGAAAGTTTTTGGTTCGAAAACAATAGAGGGGACGAAAAGAAGAAAGCCTTGCCAATGTCGTCCGCCAAACACCAGTATAGTTTCAGTGCCAAGAAGCCAGCTCGTCTACTCAACATTGGCTACTCAGAGCAGGTCAGAAAGCCAGACAGCCGGAAACAAAGAATGTAGTTAAAGAAAAGAGGTAAGGCGTTCAAGTGACGCCCTCCAACCACCCACAGAGAACTGAAGGAAAACGACAAGAAGGAATAATAGACCTCTATTTGAATTTGCCCTGCGAAATGTATCTCCTGTTTGTAGAATATGCACACGCACTGTATTTAGGATAAGCCTTTGCCAATCTCCAGGATTTGATCGAAGCATACACACAAGGACCTTTGAATAACCTCCCTGTGTACACATTATAAATACTCGCCATTAATTTGA